CTCTCACCCTGTCGGTGCCAGCGCGCCGTGCGGATGTGCCCTTCCCCCCATCTGGGCTGCAGACCTTTCAGGGACATTTCCCGAACCCACTTGGAGGCCAAAGCAAAACTGAGACAGCGGTGGCCTCAGGGTTGGAAGCCGGGGCCTGACCCTGCTGCACATCCGCCGTTGATGAGCCGCGTCGCCTTCCCCACGGGCCCCTAATTCGATTGATTGGAGGGCGGCAGTGTATTATTTCCTAGGGAGATTCAATTGAGGGGGCGCCCGAGCCGGCCTGGGCGCTATTAGCTTAGAGGGTTTCAGGGTGATCTATCAAGTGCAATTTAAAAGCAGGACCGGACTTGCGCAGTCAGAGGAGGCCCTTTCAGGACAGAGCCCTTGGGTAATGTAACAGGGCAGATACAAATTACAGTAACCTTTTTAGACTCCAGGCTGCGGGGTGGAGCCACAGTTACATTGTAGCCCTGGGCAAGCCCATCACTCCCGTCATGTGACCAGAGCGGGCTGGGTGGTCGAAGAATTTCCCAGCAGCCTCGGGGTGCGCGGCTCAGCAGTCTCCTCGGCACCCGTAATGGGCTTTTATGGACTATTTCGTGCAGTTTCCCATCTGGATGGAGGGAGCGCCTCTTTGTCATAATTCCGAAAACGTTCCACAGTTGGAAAATATCACAGGGACGGCCCCATGTCCCCCTCGCCCGCCTGGCATAACCGCGACTCTCTCTCCTGCTGAACTGCTGCAGGGTTGCCCATCCAGTTACTCTAACAGCCCCTTGCAGGCGTCGCTGTTTTATTATTCAGCTGGCTCACCTCGGGGCAGCTTCATTTCCCAGACCCGGTGTCGGCTGTTCAGGAAGGTGAATGGTTTCCCTGACGCCTGGGTCTCCCATGGCGGTGGCTCTGCACCCAGCACAGGCTCGCGACAAATGTAGGGTGTCCCCCAAAATGTACACACACTTTAACAGCTGACTTTAACAGCTCACTTCATTTTCACTCCTTTTCAGCTTTAACTGATTTGAAATAACGGGTGAAGCCAGACTGAGATTTGAACAAAGAAAATTTATCCTAAAGTGTCGCTAGAGATTATTAGAAATCAATTATCAATACTGGAAGGTCGTAACACTTCTCTTTATTATTTTATTTTTCAGAGAGAGTGGAAAGGGGGGAGAGAGACATCGATGTGAGAGAGACACATCGACTGGTTGCCTCCCACACAGGCCCCAACCGGAGCCGGGGATCGAACCTGCAGCCCAGGTGCATGCCCTTGACCAGGAATCAAACCCGAGGCCCTTTGGTGCGTGGGCTGGCGCTCTAACCACTGAGCCACACCAGCCAGGGCATAATTCCCCTTTTAAAATAACCTTTCTCCATCCGGATGTCTCTCTGCCCTTGAACAAGGTTATCCCACAGTCCATGAAGGTTCACGGTACCTGTCTGACTCCTGCGGGACGTGCGGGACGTGGATGTCTACTCACGACGCACAGTGACCCGAGTGAGCTTAGGTGATCAGGGAACGAGCTGAAATGAAACAGGCCCGTTTGTATTTATTTCAGACTCTCTATTCCTGCGTATATCATGGCTAAGATCCACTTCGGCTATTTCCGCTTATAACAAGCAATTAGCAGATTAGTGGATTGATTTTTCTGTTTGTTCTTTCATTTGGAGACCTAATCGCTTACCTGAATGGTTTTAGTTTTCACCCTAATGGCTTCGAGGGCCATTCAGGGCCAGAATGATGTTTGACAATTCCCTCGGCTGGGCTGATTGGGAGTGTGAATCACACGCGTCGGGCCAGCATGCCAAGTCCCCATCGCCCCTCGGAGCCTCCAGCCAGATCTGTCCTGCCCCCGTCCCGCGGGTGCCGTGCCTGCGGGTCCTCCCCCAGCCCCTCAGCGGCACCGGGACTTGGCTGCTTCCGAACCTGAACTCGCCGCTGCTCCTGCCACCCCTCCCCTGGCTCCGCCTGCAGGGGATGCTCCCAGTGATGGCCCAGCATCTCTTCAGTTGCCCGGCCGGTGTGGCTCAGCGGTTGAGCATCGACCTATGAACCAGGAGATCGCGGTTCGATTCCCGATCAGGGCACAGGCCCGGGTTGTGGGCTCGATCCCCAGTGGGGCGCGTGCAGGAGGCAGCCGATCAATGACTCTCATCATTGATGTTTCTCTCTCTCTCTCCCTTCCTCTCTCTGAAATCAGTAAAGATATATTTTTAAAAAATCAATAAAAGCATATTAAAATGAAAAAAACCTTTTTTATAAAAAAAAAGAACTGTTATCTCTCCTCTTTGTTTCTCTACTAACGGCTACGCTCTACCTTCCAGGAGGCCTCTTTTTAGAATTAAAGGGCAGTAACTTGACTCCTAAGAGGAGCTTTCTTAAGACAGCAGTGTCTAAGTTGAATGTGAACTGGAGCGTAGCTGTTGCAGTCGGGGTAACAGCTCATTCCCAGGGAGAGAAAGACGCGCTCGGCGGCAGGAAGGAGGGCCCTCCCTGATGTCAGTTCTCCCGAGTCTCCTCCGAGTCACGTTTCCATGACACTAAGTGACATTCTGCAGCCAGAACGTCCCCTGACCTTATAAGAAGTTGTAGATGTTGCCTTATTCATTGGCTTCCTCACTTTGCTAAGGTTTCTTCGGAGAGCCCTGCTTTCTCGGACGTGCTCACTCCCAAGCCAAGCAGAAGGTTGGCTGCGTATTAAAATAGCTCAGCACACGCTCCCTGCTGGGCTCAAAGGTGTCCTTGCTCAGCCAGGCCGGCCGTCCGGGTGGGAGGGGTCGGGGCCTCTTGGGAACCATGGGGAGCACCAGGACTCGTGGGCCAGACGCCCAAAGCAGCGACCCCCACGCCTATTCCTCAGAGAAGCCTGCCCCTCGGTGCAAAGACCTGGCCTGTGACACCGGATAACCAGGCATCTCCCGGCCACCCCTCCTCCCCCAGCTGCAGCTGCAGCTCCCGGTCTGTGACATGTCACAGTCATGTGGTTCCTTATGAGTGTAGAAGGTTCTAGAAGGTTCTGGCTAAGCATGAGCAAAAAAACGGAGGGACTTTTCTAAAACACCCTCCCAGGTGTCCCTGTAAAAGGTGTGTGTGTATATATCTATACCTGCTTGAGGGCCCGTGTTTGGATGTTTGTATCATGTAAAAAGAGGGGGAAATTGGCCCCCCCGGCCAGTGTTGCCCAGTGGTTAGAGTGTCTGCTGGAGCACCAAGGGGTCATGGGTTCGATTCCTGGTCAAGGGCACATACCTGGGTTGCAGGCTCCATCCCCGGCCCCATTTGGGGCTTGTGCGGGAGGCAGCCGATCGACGTGTCTCTCTCCCATCCATGTTTCTC